TCTGCCATGGGGAATGGACGGAAAGGCTCATTAGGTCGGCGAACCAAGGCCTCCGAGGCCAGTATGGAGCCACCAGAACCAACTCCGCCCTCTCCAGTAGCAGCCTGCGTATGGTCGCCGGAATGAGCGGTAGGGGAGGGAAGGCGTAGAGTAAGCCCTTCGGCCACGGAGACCTTAAGGCGTCCGTCCCCTCCGCCCCTGGGTGATAATATCGGGAGAAGAACCTGGGGAGCTGTGCATTGCTCGGTGACGCGAACAAATCGAGGACCGGAAGGCCGAATCTGCGTGTTATCTCTGAGAACAGGACCGGATTCAGTCCCCATTCCGAGGGATCTATCGTGGCTCGACTCAAGAAGTCTGCCTGTTGGTTCCTGTCCCCAGAGATATGCTCGGCCCTGAGGGAAGCCAGGTTGGTCTCCGCCCAGGACCCCAGGAGCCGGGCCTCGGTCATGAGGGACCTGGACCTGGTACCCCCTTGCTTGTTTACATGGGCTTTGGACGCCACGTTGTCCGTGAGGACCAATACGTGACGACCCTTGATGTAGTGGCTGAACTGACGGAGGGCTAGGTGGATGGCCCTGAGTTCCAGCCAATTGATGTTGTGTCTCAAGTCTGCGCTTGACCAACGGCCCTGCGCAAACTGAGACTGTAAATGGGCACCCCAGCCGAACAGGCTGGCATCCGTCGTGATGGTAAGACGGTCCGGCTCCTTGAAAGGTGACCCCTTGGTCACCGCTCGCGAGAATCACCAGCGTAGGGACCTCCGGGCGTGCAATGGGAGCTTCACCCGTTGGTTGGATGCGCTGACGTTCAATCGCTGGAACGGTAAAAGGAACCATTGTAGTTCCCGTAAGTGGAGCCTGGCCCAGGGGACAATGGCTATGCAGGAGACCATCTTCCCTAAGAGTTGGGACAACAAGACCAACGTCACTACCCGTTCTCGGTACACCCTGCGAGCTAGGTCCCTGATGCTGTCCACCCGCTCCTGGGAGAGATAGACCACGCAGTTCGCGGTGTCTATGATGGCTCCCAGGTGCAGAAGCCTGGATGAGGGAACCGTCTGGCTTTTCTGGAAGTTCACCAAGAACCCGTGCTGTTGAAGGACCTGAATAGTTAGGCCGAGGTCTGTCTGAGCCGCCCGGAAGGAGGACGCCTGAATCAGAATGTCGTCCAGGTAACACTGGATGCGTACCGGTACCTTCCGGAGGTGGGCGGCCAGCACAGCCAGGATCTTGGTGAACACCCTGGGTGCCGAGGAGAGGCCAAATGGAAGAGCCTTGTACTGGAAATGCTGACCCTTGTAACAGAACCTGAGGAACCGCCTGTGGTCTGGAAGGATGGGGATGTGGAGGTACGCTTCTGAGAGGTCTATCGACGCGAGGAAGTCTCCCTGTCTGATGCCTCCCAGGATGGACTGGAGCGATTGCATTTTGAATTTTTTGTATGCAATGTAACGATTCAGACTTTTCAAGTCCAGAATCGCCCTCCATCCCCCCGATGTTTTGGGAACCACAAAGAGGATGGAGTAGAATCCCCCTCCTTCGTGACCCGACGGTACCGGTTCTATGGCCTGAATGTCTATGAGATGACGAATGGCCTCCTGCATAAGTCCCCGCTTGATTGGATTGCGAGATGTGGGGCAAGATATGAAGTGACCCGGCGGGATCGCCAGGAGCTCTAGGGACAGACCTTGTTGTACTGTCTGCAATACCCATTTGTCCGTGGTGGTGAGCTCCCACCGATGGAAAAAATGGGACAGCCTGCCTCCTATGGGAAGGGAGATTTGAGAGTCACTTGGACTTCTTAAAGGGATGTCCCGTACCCCGAAATGGCCGCCTATTCTGGGGCTGTTGCCTGGGCCGAAATCCTGTCCTGTCATAGGGGCGGTCATATGTGCAATCCTGCCTAATTGTGAAAGGTCGAAATGGCTGGGCAGCAGCCGAGCCTGAATTTTGCCGAAAGGGCTGCCTCCTGGAATAAGGAGTGGGGCGCTTGTCGGATCGCTTGGTGACGTGAGCCATGACTTTTCTCTTATCCTTGTTTTCCACAAGGAAAGGTTCAGTGCTTCGCCAAATAGATGGGACCCCTGATATGGAGCGGATGCCAGGCGCCATTTGGCCTTGGCATCGGCCTGCCAATGTTTGAGCCAGAGCATCCTCCTGGCCGAAACGTTGGAAGCCAAGGCTCGTGAGGCAAAATTAGCCGACTGTAGAGTCGCGTCCGACGCGTACTCCGTAGCGGCCACCATTTTGCTCAAGTCCTGATGAGTCCTAACGTCCTCAGGAGGGACTCTGGCTTGCAGCTGCCGAAGCCATAAGAGAGTGGTTCGGACAAAAAAGGACGCGCACGTGGCCGTCTTGATGGCCCATGCGGTTGACTGATGGGTCTTGCGAAAGGTTAGGTCGCATTTCCTATCGTCAGCCTTAAGGGCCTCCGCCAAGTCCCCAGAGACTGCCGTCTGAGACACCAGAGGAGTCCAGGCTTCATCTATCTGAGGTACCTCCAAGGCATCAGTTAGATCCTTGGAGGTGTGATATAGCTTCTTGTCCAACCCACTAACGGAGAGGGAGGCAGAAGGGGAAGACCACTGCTTCTTTATCCCCATAAGGAATATGTGAGGACAGGGCACATGATGCTGCGTTGTTTCAGTTGCAAAAAATATGGGGTCCGGACTCGCCTCGGCGGTAGCCTGCGGCTGCGGAAACTGATCGGACCCTATATTGGACGTGGCCGTTGCCTTGCGAAGTAAGGAGAGAACAAGGCTTGATTAAAAAGGCCACCTGAGGAGGGTTCCGGAGGCAGTACCTCATCCTCTGACCAGTTGAGTTCCGGTGGCTCCCCTCCCGTGTGGGCTGAATAGCCACTAAGAGAGGAACGGTCAGGAGACGGAGGATCCTGAATCAAGAGGTCCTCTGCTGGCAGAGTAGGAGGGGGCATGGCTGGAGTAGGGCCCCCCTGCCCAGGCACCTGACCAGAACGAGCCGCAAGCGCCCGATCAACGACCTTAGAAAGCAGAGCTTCCAGACGGCCGTCTGAAAATAAGTCTCCTAACTCTGGAACCCTGAGCCCTACTGCTGTAGGGGTGAATGTAGCCTCCGGAACCGAGCTATAGGAAGGCGGGCCAGTACACGTGTGGTGGATTGTCGGAGCAACAGGGTCGGCAGTCAAGGACCACACCCCCTGAGCCGACGTGGATGGACCCAAGGGAAGGCCGAATTCTGGGGCCACCAATGATCCCTCTCATGCCTGGCCTGTTCTTGTGCCCTGGTGAATTCTTTTTCCAGAGCCTGGTGCCTACGGCTGGCCTGCTTCTCCGCCAACTTTGATGTCTTCTTCAGAGTGGCTTTGGCCTTACTTTTAAGCTTGCCCGCTGCCTCCTGTCCGGAGGATTTGTGCCGGCCGTGAGCGGATGACGGGGACGCGGTGCCCAGGAGCTGAGGCGCCGTGGAATCCTCCATCACTGATAGAGCTATCTCAGGAAACCTGAGGGGGAGCTCTGGCAAGCAAGCTGATGGCGGGAAGATGTTCAGAGCTAGTATCAAGTACTGCTCCCCTGACCACCTGACCTGACAAAAATCTCTCTGGGTTTAGGTCACGGTCATCAGAAGACTGAAGGCACGTTAGGGGCCCGCAAAGGCTCCACCTGGATGCCTTAGGTGGCCAGTCAGGGTGCACGAGATATCCAATGAGGGCGTAAGGGCCTGAAATTGAGGCCTGGCACAGGCAATGTAATCAAAAGGCGGAGTCCTGAATCGAAATGGTGGTCTGAGAATTTGAGTATGGTAATTTTATGCTGAACTAATACCCTGAATGGCAGGGAAAGAAAGTCCTGTGAAGGACCCTGTGGTAGACCTGGCCTGTATCAGCAATGGGAAAACAGCTGAAACTAATACCCTGAATGGCAGGGAAAGGAAGTCCTGTGAAGGACCCTGTGGTAGACCTGGCCTGTATCAGCAATGGGAAAACAACTGCTGCCCCACCCCTGGCCGGGTGATGAGGGCAACCAGGCCTTTGCCGCGTGGCGCCTTTAAAATGGCGGCCGCGGCTGACCGTAGTAAGGCCAACGGACTGGTGTTGTGCTGACTTTACTTGCCCCCAAGAACAAACGACTATCCAATTTTCTCAATCGTTGGGGAATTCTTTCCCCTGTCTGAGGAGAAGTTTCCCTGCTCGAGGCTTCCCCCGCAGCACAAAATGGCGGCCGCGAGTCAAAATGGCGGCCGCGACTTTCTGCCGATGCTAAAAAATGGCCCAGAGGTATTCTGATCAACTGGGAAGGCAATTAAACGAGAATCACCCAAAAACGCTGGGGAGTTTGCTTCCCAGCCGAGTAGAAAGCTTCCCTGTGTGCTAATATGTCGGCAGCTGCCGAAAATGGCGGCCGCGACTTTCGGCAGTTGGCAGCGTCCCTGAGGGGCGAAAATTACGAAGGGAAGTTGAAAGGAGCCGAGCAGTGGTGTTAGCCTCGCGCCAGGAGCAAAAACAACGGGGAAATCGGAAGGATTGCCCTCCTCCCCCCCCCAGATCCCTGGAGAAAGAAAATACGACGGGGATATTACCCCCCCACACACACCTCCCTCAGAAAAGCCTCAAATCGGCCGATTTGAGGCCCCGCTGATCCCAGCTGGCTAAGGGAGGGTTGCTGGGGGAATGAAATTTGCTGGGGGAATGAAATTTGGAAGGGGATCTATGAGAATCCAACGATGGGTCTCTGACCTGCAATGTCTAAAATCCTAATCCTGAGAGCCAAACCTTGAGACGTCTGCAAGAGCTTGAGACCAAGATAAGACTGGGTCTCACAGCAACAGGGGGCGTGTCAAAGTTTGGCTACTTGGTCTCAGGAGCAGGCATCCAATGAAAACCCACCGGTGGATTCTCCATCTCCTGTACTGGAGAATTCAAATCAACTGCACAACCAACCAGCGATGATACCGACCCTCAACCAACTCACACAACTCCACAACCCACCAGCACTTTACCTCCCAAAGATCCTCACCTGATGAAATCCCATGGCTTTTATGTGACCATGGCTTTTACGTGACCCATACCTAACCCCTCTTTCACAAGACCATGGTTTTTACGTGACCCATACCTAACCCCTCACAAGACCCTCAGCTGATATGAGACTCTTCCATCTCAAGTCCTACTGGCCACATGAAACCCTTATAAGCAGAACAACACCAACACTTGACATTCCCTAAATTCCACTTAAGATGTTACCTACCCTGATAATGAAACATTTAGAAACCAACCCACAAGTTCAGAGAACGAACCTTCAACCTCATCCTATACCTGAGCTACAGATATTCATCACTATCATAAACTAATTAAGCTAAAAGAGAACTGATTTGTTCAAGAATCTAACCAAATCAGAAAATGACTTTTGATTATTTTTTTTCAGTTGCCTCCAAAGTCCTCTCTTTACTCTGAGAATTTGTCTGTTTTATCCTCCTCCCATTGGTATCAAAGTTCTCCACTTCTTCCCTGGGCCAGGCTAGCCCCATTTTTTCCAGTTTCTTACCACATTCAAGTTTCTAATATTTCATATATTTTGCTTCCTGAAAAGAACTTTAGTGATCTAAAAACTTTGAGAAAAGTTGAGATATTATTTTTCTTATTAATATTTAATTAGAATTATCAGCAGGGTACATATCAAAAAGAGACATATCCTCAGACATTATGTTTCAGTGGGTGCAGAAAAAAAGCTTTATACTCAAAATTACTAGCCTATATAATTCACTTTCTTCTCTAAATCCCACTTTTCAATCTCAGTTTGGATTATAGATCATATATCTATTCCAACATAGGTGGCATTGCCAAGCAATCACACTGAGAAAGTGAGTACAGATAATAATAGATCTGAGACTGAAAGGTTTCAGTTTGCTGGATTTAGATAGTAGTCCTAATCAGGAAAATGTTTAGACTGTAGCCCTAATTAGGAAAATGAAATCAAGACAATTCAGTTTCAAGTAAATGAAAAACATTCCAAGAGAAAGAAAAACAATCCTATAAACTTAACATATACTTAATTTCATTACAACCAAGTGGTCAATTGTCAGTTTATCATCTCATCAGGGACTGATTACCTCAGAGACTGTTGTTACTCATTCTAAATGTTTTAACAATAGATCAGTGGTTCTCAACCTGTGGGTTGGGACCCCATTTGGGGTCGATCGACCATTTCACGGGGGTCGCCAAGCAAGGCTGTCCACCATTTTTTTTGTCCGCCATTTTTTCCCCCTTTTCCGGCGGGTGCCTTACCTCCCTTGGCCAGCTGGTGGTCGGCCTGCTCCATCTCTGCTGCTTGCCAGCTACGCCTCAGCCGGCGCAGGGGGCGGAACCACGCATGCGCGGCGCTCCCGGGCAGGGAAAGTCCTCGACTTACGACCGGTTGGGTAGTCCTCGACTTACGACCGGTTTAGCCCTCGACTTACGACCGGTTTAGTCCTCGACTTATGGCCGGTTTAGTCCTCGACTTACGACAGTTGGGGTCGCGGCATTAAAAAGGTTGAGAACCACTGCAATAGAGTCTTACTAAACTATACAAGGTATACCAAAAGTCAGACCTCACTGACCATTTACTATATAAATTACATCAAAATTAAATTGGTTACCACTTTTTCTAAACATTTTTTATTTCTTTGATGCCCTTTGAAAAATTCCTAAGTAGTAACATTTTCTCTAAAAAATAAAATTAAACAAAACATATAATTGGTTTGTGGGGCCTGACTTCAAGTATACCCTATACATAAATATGAACCTCAGAAACATTTTCAATAGTTTTAGAACCACTCTTATTCAGAGGAAGACATTTCAAATTACAACTGAGTTATTTTAAATTATTGCTTATTATTTTAAATAAATAATAAGGCCAGCCAATCAATCAATAAAAATAAATAAATACAAGGCCACCCAGTTATGATTATCCATTGCCCACTTACCTAATACTTATCTACTTGTGTATATTGAAGCATACTAATCTTTTTTTAAAGCGAAAACACTGGCTCTCTTTGACAAAGTTCTCAAAGTGTACTATAAATCAGTCAATACTGCACAGAATAAGCCAAAGGGAAGTGGGGGTGAGTAAATTCAACAGGATATCCGAAATACCAAAACTCAGAAACTTTTGCTATTTTCCCAACCCAGGCACCCTCTTCAACTTATCAAGGGGAATTTTAGCGCTCTCGATTTCGCAAAAAAGAAAAAGAAAAGCCGATCTGAACAAAAAAAAACTTTTTTCTGCTCTTTTCGGGGGGAAAAATAATCCCGTTTCGAGTCACTATCGCCACACCACAGAGAAGCCAGCATGAGGACTTACAGGGGAACTGTCCTTTGCTGCCGCTTTTCAAACCACTCGGTTTCATTTTCCTGGGAAGTCACATTTTCTGCACCCTCATTTCCCCGCGACGGTTACGGTCTACAAGAAAACATCGTATTAAAATGATCCAAAATTCGTTCTTTTTTAAAATACCAATTAAAGCTGAGGGGCGGGGTTCTGGGTGCGTTTCCTCCAGCTCTTCCTTCCTCCCAAGGTGTCTCCCTTCCTCCCTCCATTCACGAGGCAGAATTTGCAATCCTTCTCCCGTACCCGTCGTCTTGTCGCTGCCTGGCCCCGTCCACTCCACCCCACCCCACCCCACCCCGAAGGGACGGTTGGTGTTTGAAATGTACATTCCCGCCGCTCGAACCGATCCCCGGCCCTCGCCTCACCCCAACCCAGCGGGTCCCATGGGGCCGGGCACGGCCTCTACTCAGGATCTTCTACGCCAGTCGGCCATCGCGCTTTTTGTCAACCGCGCTTTCCCGCCTTTGGTCACCCGGGCCTACCAGGCTCTGTCGACGCTGGCTTCGCCTCCCTGGTTGGGCTGAGCGAGTGCAGAGGCGGCGCCACGCAACTAGGAGGAGCCTTTCGCAGCGCTCACAGGGCGAAGGCACCGTTGTTTCTTCTCCTTCTTCGGGGTGGTGGCGGAAGGTAGTTTGCCATCATCCTCTTCCCTCTCCCTTACTTCTCCGGTAAATGGCCATTGAAAAGGCAGGAGGGCGGAAACGTGCCGATCTTCTCGCTAAAGGAGCGGTTTCCCACTAAAAAATGTGGTTGAGAGATGCCTTGTGAGGTTCTTGAGAACCGGTAGAAGTCCCAAATGCAAAGAGTGCGTGGTGCCTTCGTAAAAGCTGGGAGGTAATCCTCAAGAGGTACCGAATGAGTTGCGTGAGAAAGGAGGCGTGGATTGAATTGGTATTAGTTTTTGTTATGTAAAGACCCGGGTGAATTCTATGCATGATGGGATTAAAGATAAGGGACATAACAGCTGATACCAGCACTTGAAGAGGGACCACCTCAGAAGATACTAATAAAGAGGAATATTTGTAGCTCAGGGTTGAAACAAAATACCTCCCCACCAGCAATCAACACCCAAATGAGCATAGATTAAATCCAATATTAACATCAGACCAACCATTAAGAAGTAATGCCCTAATCAAAGAATTGCCAAACAACTAAACAGCCTATAAGCCAGCGGTTCTCAACCTATGGGTCGTGACCCCATTTGGGGTCGATCGACCATTTCACGGGGGTCACCAAGCAAGGTTGTTCGCCATTTTTTTCCCCTTTTCCGGCAGGTGCCTTGGGCTGGGCCAGCTGGTGGTCGGCCTGCTCTGTCTCTGCCGCTTGCCAGCTACGCCTCGGCTGGCACAGGGGGTGAAACCATGCATGCGCGGTGCTCCCGGGCAGGGAAAGTCCTCGACTTATGACCGGTTGGGTAGTCCTCGGCTTACGACCGGTTTAGTCCTCGACTTACGACCGGTTGGGGGTCGCGGCATTAAAAAGGTTGAGAACCACTGCTATAAGCCAAGAACCTCCAAGACCTCTCCCACCAACACTGACAGGGCAAACTACTAGAATATAAACTGAAAGTAAACCCTACTTGTTACTAGCACTGATAATGTTATTATCTAGTTTGAGTGATGAATGGTCTGCAAGAAAACAACCATCTCAGAAGATATTCCTTCACTTGGAAGATTTTTATTCTGCCCTCCTTTCTTCTGAAAAATGGTCTGGCAGCCTACAGAAGCTGTTTGGATTCTCAGAATTGCTGTAACAGACAAGGCTGAGTGATCTAGATGGTCACATAAGGTCATTCAAAAGATTTCATGATAAACCAAGGACTAGCTTGACTGCTTTGAAATCAACATTTTAAGAATTGTACTCTTCAGACTGTGTGTGCTAGTTTGAGCCAATCCAATTAACAGAAATAATACATAAAGTAGCCTTTGTTCTTGTGCATGGCAGTTCCTATGATCTTAGGGGGTCAGCAGTATTTCAAATAATCCATAGGTGTTGAGAGTATCTGTGATTCCAGGAAAAAAAGTGTTTTGGAGATTGTTTAAAATTACTTTTGGAATTATATCCTACCTTGCATTGAAGTAAATTCTAACTGGATTCTGGCATATTCCTCCTGTGACAGATCAGAACCATAAGGTTTAATTATTTTTTTAACATTTTTTTCCCCAGGAAAAATGATGGGTTGTGAAAACAAAGGAAATGGACCCTATGGAATCACAACTTTTCAGCAAATTGTCTCTTCCTGTTGTGGTGCTGTTCTAACATCCATTTTGGGTAAGATCAAATATTAGAATCTTTTAAACTTTCCTACGTCTGCTTTTATAGTTTTGTCAGAATACTCCTATATTTGTGCTCAACTTCTGTTGTGCTCTAGAACAGTGCTTTTCAACTTTTTCACAGATTGTACCACTTTTAGGATATGGCAATATTCGAGTACCATCAGTCGTCTAGCAAGGTGTCGAAAACTTGATAACCCCAAAAAAAAAAGGAAAAATGTGATGAAGTACAAGTAGTGCAACTGTTCGAAGTTACAACGGCACTGAAAAAAGTGACTTATGACCATTTTTCAGGCTTATGACCGTTGCAGTATCCCCAGGATCACGTGATTTACATTCGGATGCTTGGCAACTGATTCATATTTAAGATGGTCACAGTGTCCCAGGGTCATGTCATCACCTTTTGCAACCTTCTGACAAGCAAAGTCAATGGGGAAACCAGATTCACTTAAGAACTATGTTATTAATTTAACAACTGCAGTGTTTCACTTAACAAATGTGGCAAGAAAAGTCAAAATGGGACAAAACTCATTTAAGAAATTTCTCACCTAGCAACATAAATTTTGGGCTCAATTGTGGTTGTAGGTTGAGGACTATCTGTACACCCACTTACCTCACTTTTAATGGGAAACTTGTGCTTGTTTCTCTGACACTGTTCTGTCCCCTTCTCTCTTTCTAGTTGACTCTAAAGAAGCCTCTCCTCCATCTCTCTTTCTCTGTCCCCTTCTCTTTCCCTGTCAGGTTTTTTCCTCCCTTTCCCTCCAAAAGCTTCTTTCATATCCTCTCCTCTCTCACCCTCCTTTTCTCTTTGGTGTAGCTGCAGCTGACACCTTTCCCAGAGGCTGCACGCTGCTTCAGGAAGTGCCAATCAGCTGAAGCCGCACAGCGATCCTGGACACTTAGCAGAGCTGTGACAACATAGTAGCTCCAACTGATTCTCCCACAGGCCTCTGCGACATTGCTGCCCCTTCAGCTCATCTCCAACTACACTTTTACATTTTCTTTTACACTTTTTTTTACAGTGCTTTTTAACGCATTGATACCGAAGTACCATCAGTGGTACATGTACAATGGGTTGAAAAGCACTGCTCTAGAAAGCAGAGCTTAAGTTTTTTTTACTTAGTTAAATTTACTTAGCTAGTTCTGTTTATAATCAATTAACTACCTATTAATTAACATTAAAAAGCATTTTAACATGATAGTTGTTTGATTGTCTTAGTGACACCTCTAGATGTTGTCAAAGTTCGACTACAGGCCCAAAGCAATCCATCCCTGAAAGGTAAATCCATATCTTTATATATTTGCAGTGTCGATGGGTGATAAAATTTGATAAATTATTCTCAAAGGTTCACATTTATGAAATTGAGATTACTTTTTAATTACATGTTAGAAATGTTATTTGCACTTTCTGATCATTTATAAGATGAATATACATTTTATTTTATGATAGTTTATGACTAATAAATATATCATTTTATGTTTTCTTTAGAAATTGTTAAGACATCTTTTTAATTATATAAAATGAATACATGAGATTATGATTATACCATTATATTTGCCTATGATACTCCCATGTAACATTAAGGATGTTGTATGAACTTTATGTATACATACGTATATAATCCTAATATAAGTATATAGTCCTCCAGATTATGCTGTGCTTCATCAACTCCTTTGTAACACCTAGGAGTAAAGATTTCTTGTTTACTTTTTTATCAGGAAAGTCTTTTTTGGATTCTGATGGCTTGACTGATCACATTTATCTTTATGAAAATGGAACTGGCAAGACTTGGCATAAGACACCTGGTCGTTTTACTGGCATGTTGGTAAGAAAAAATGCACATTCAATCCAGTAGTATTAACTTTTAACTCTTCTAAGTTTGTCTGACCAATTTCAATTTTGAAATATAATTAGATAGTTTCATAGTAGCTTAAGCTCAGGAGAAACACACTTCACCAGTAATCAGCATTCAAATCAGCATAGATTAACTCAAGGTCACCTTCAGACCAACAATCAAGTAAGCAATACCCCAATCAGGAAACTGACACAGAGCCATTAGTAAACAGCCCAACCAAAGAATCCCTAAGACTGCCCCCACCCACCCAAACATGCAAGACACCAGCAAACAGCACTCCTTACTAGCACTGATTATGTTACCTAGTTAAGGTAATGAAATGTTTGCAAGAAAACAAGCAAGCTCAGAGAGCATCAAGAATCCCTCATTTCAAACCTGAGCTATAAATATTTTCCTTCATTGGAAACACACTTCTTTTGCATTATGATAATTTAAAATTAAATCTGCCTATACATTCACATTTTATAAGATACTTGGTACAGCAGTTTCCAATGATTGTGAATGAGAAGATTAATTTGATAATAAGAAAATAAAAAGGTGATTGATTATTCCTGTCACTTAACTGATTGTAAGCAATAGGCTATGTATACATGATACTTGAGATGTGTTCATATGACAAACTAGCCAATAACATTGAAGCCTATCATGTTGTACAAGCCCAAATCCATGTAGTTGTTTAATCATTCATATGTCATATAACAGGCCAGTTTACGGTCTCCTGGTATGTTATAATCATACTCTAGGCAAGAAAATAGCTGAGTGTTCTTGCAGGCAATCACTCTGTCTCAGCCTTAGGAAAAAGGCAGTGGCGATCCACTTCAAAACATGTGCAAGGAAACTGCACGGGCACACAAGTGTCATATAAGTATAGTTATAAAGTACTCGTGGTTTCATAGATTATTGATGCCCTTTTGTGCCCTTGAAATTCACAATTCCATTCAAATAAAAGCTTTTGACCTTAATGGAAAGCATTTAGCTCACTGTGGTTTATTACATCTCCTTAAGTCAATTTTGCATATTGAATATTTATTGATTTAAGGAGGAATGAAGATTTTTATTTTGAAGATCAATAGATATGAATATATATTTTATATAAAGTAACATTTTTCTAGATTTTAAAAATTTCATATTTATAGATAAATTCTTCCTATTTTAAATTAGCATTTCTCAGATCACCAATGAAAAAGATGGCAAATGTTCACAGAAGAATACACAGGCCCTTCTTAAATTAGCAAGCATGTGAAGAGCCGAACAATAGGGCTGTCACCATTCTGGCCAGATAGGGACAACCAAATAGCCAGATATTCCCTTTGGGCCACAGAATGCCCAACTCTACTTACAAAAGATACAAAATTAAGCTAAGAAGGGTGTGGGTGTGTGTGTTCATGAGTTCTCAGATACAGATACCACACACCTACAGTATGCCAGTTTTTTTTAAAAAAAAAAATTTAAACTATTAAATACATAGTGTTTGGTAGATAGTTCAAGAAATCTACAACCCACCTCATCACTATTTTTCCTTTTAGGATGCTTTTGCAAAAATTGTTCAAAGAGAGGGCGTGAAAGCATTGTGGAGTGGGTTGCCGCCCTCACTGTAAGTTATAAGTTTTTTATTTTTTCTTTCTTCAATTAATCTTTCACAATAAAATCAGTTAAAACCTGAATAAAAATAAATAGTTAATAAAATGAATTATGAAACTATCAATGCTGTTAATATTCACTGCAATATTAGTACCAAAATAACTGAAATGCAATTTTATTAATGACTTTCCTATTACTGCCAATAGTTGCCTTAAGGTAAAAAAAAAATAAACATAGGAATGTGTATTCTAAATAATCAAATTTTAGTATGTGTCCTGGGCTATATTAATTGGTGCAACTTTTTTATATAAACCCTAGGTAACTAGAAGGAGTAGTAGAAAAAATACTTGGCCTGTATTTTGAGAAAATCAAGATAGTGCTAGAAATGTTTTTTGGGAACAGTTGAAAGTTAAAAGCAGCTGTGTTGAGGAAGAGCTCAAATGGTTCAGTCTTAAAATCCTTGACATGCCACAGAAAAATTAGGAAAATTACAATATGAAAAGGAGGTCAAGATTGTAAAAAAATAGTTTCCTTGCTCTTCCTAAAATCCTCCCCCAAAATATTTCTGCTTTGATCAGCATGAACCCAGCCAGATGACCTTGGAAAACAGCAATTCTTCTGCCACAGGAAATCAGTTCTAAAAAGCAAAGCAGTAGGTAGCTTAAAGGAAAAAATATCCATTTGATTTCTATGTCTAACAGTCTTAACAAGTGACTCTGGGCAATGTGCATAAAAACATAAAACAATACAAAATACTGTAAATATATATCGTTGCCGAATAAAATTATTGTCACAGATTTAATAGAATGAAGAAATGGAGCCCTAAACATACCCCAGTCATGTAACTAGCTCTTTACAGTCCTATAAAAGGCCAACAGAGTTGGGGCTATCCTAATCTCTGAAGGAAGAATATTCCAGATCGCAGGGGCTATGGCATGACTCCTAGTCCCTGCCAACCAACATTCCTTGGCAGATGGGATTCATAATATGCCCAACCTGACAGACCAAACTGGACAGGTGAAAATGACTAGGAGAAGACAATCCCTTAGGTGACCAGTTTAAGATTTTAAAGGTGACAAAAAACTTCTTGAATTGCACCCGGAAGCACACTGGCACCAGTGCAGCTCATATACTGTAGAAGTGGTATTACATGTCAAATATCCAACACCATTTACTACCCATGCAGCCACATTTTGTGGCAGTTGAAATTTTAGAATGCTCTTCAAGAGCAACTCCATGTAGAGTGTATTACAGTAATCCAGATAAGACGTCACAAGGGTATGAGTAAATCCTAATTCAGGGATGAGCACACCTTGCATAAAACTCTGTGAAAAGGCCCTTCTAGCTACAGCTGCTACCTGCTCTGTAGCCATGAAGCCAAGAGAATTCCTCATCACCCAACCCCATTTTATAGCAGATTTGCTTGGAGCAATGCACCACATCCAGAAGCAAGAGTGGAAAAACCTTGTCACTGGACAGTACAGTCTTGCATCTTTCTCCAAGGCTGCTCTCAATTGTTGATAGGGAATGAGAAAGCCAGTCGTGGCATGCTGAAGGGCTCGGTACTCTCTCCACTCCTTTATAACATCTGCAAGAAATTGCTGGATGAAGTCATCCATCACCATGGATTGACATCATAGTATATGGAGGGTACTCAATTTTATATCTCTGCCCTTGAAAAGCATTAGGAAACTTCAACTGGTGCAGAGTGCAGTGGTATGAGCAGTCTTTGGGATACCTAGAGTGGGCCATGTTACACCACTGTTCTGTGAACTGCACTAGCTGCCAATTTGTTTCCGGGTACAATTCAAGGTGTTGATTATTATCTATAAAGCTCTGCATGACATGGGTCCAGGTTACTTGAGGAACCATCTCAACCCCTATGGGAAAAGATCCATCCCACCCATTCCAGTGGAAGAGGCATTCTATGGATCCCACCAGTCAAGGTATTCTGACTGTGGGATCCAGGAGAAGAGCGTTCTTTGCTGTGGCCCTGGCCCTTTGGAACATCTTGCCTCCTGAAGTGAGATTGGCTTCATGACCTTCCTTAAGAGCCTGAAGACCTGGCTTTGCCAGTTGGCTTGGGGCCATAGTGAGGAAATATCACATCGGAGGTGGTTGATTGACTAATAGCAGCTTCAATCTCCCTGCCATGCATTTTGCTCTGTGATAGACCATAATACTATTAACAATAGTATTAAAGAGGTCAAGCTGAGAAGTCAAGAAGTGGAAGGATAAGTACAATATGTCCATCTTGTTCAGACCAGAAATCATCTAAGAACACAATCAGTGCCACATCAGTCCTGTAACCTGACCTGAATCCTGGCTGAAAGGGGTCCTAATTATCTGCTTTATCCACGATGTACTGCAGCTGCCAAGCAGCCACTTTCTCCACAATCTCCCTCATGCCACAGTTGGAGATTGGACAAAAGCTGTCCAGACTACTAATGTCAAATGGCCCCTCCAGGTGGATGAAGGGCAGGGCTGAAGGGGGCAGGAGCATGTGGCAGACATGAAAAGTCCTAGACCCCACCAGATTGCTTAGGGTTTGATTGCACAATCCCAAATGATTCAATTCCTCACCCCCACCCCCAGCTTTTATCTGTGAGAAAGCTGAGCAGAATCACAATTCAATCTAAACTTTCCAACTTGATGACTAGTCCTATTCCAATAAATCCTTTCAATTAAGTCCTCTTGAATCACAAGGACTGTTGATTAAAGCATTTCATACGGATGGCTGTTCCTCTACCATTAGTTCTCAACCAGGAGGAAATGCAAAATGCCTATCCGCTAATGTGGAGGAAGGAATTGCCGCCTCAAAGCCCAAACAGTCCAACCCTGCTTCTGCTACAGCGAAATTCCCCACCTCCAAGCCACCATGATGAAAAATGAGTAGCTTTCACACTCATTTAGGCATCACTGTCCTTGCCCTGCAGCATAATCCCGTCTGCAGGCTTACTTTCTTCAGTGGTGGCCTCCTTCCCATTGATATGTCACCAATTGTTGCAAAATGGATTGAACACTTCCTGTGTGAAAATGCTATGATTCTCATCAGAGTAATAGAATAAATCCTATCCAGATATAAAAGTATGGGCTATAATTGCAAAGTTATGAGGGATATGCTTTCTGGCTACTTTCAAAAGCACCTTCATTATTTTTTCATTATGTATATGTTGATCCATATTATTAATGTACATGATTCTTGTATACTGGATAATAAAACATACAGACATTCCTCTGTTTTGCTTATTTCCTCTCCAGAGTTGGCACTAATTGTACCATTGTTTGTTCGCCATATTGCATTGTGGAGCACAAACTGAAAAAAACCCAAAACTGTGGGCCCTTAGAATTCTTTGCTTTAAAGTGTTTACTTGAATAACTTAGTAGAGGGAAATTGCTCTCTAACATGTTTATATAAGTTGTTAAAGAGAAAACGGCATGTCTAAATGTTTTACTCAGCACAGGAAGTATCCCTGAATGGCCCACGGTCCATTTGTGAGTATTAATATTTATTACATCTTGGCATGCAATATAGATGTGCAATATAGAGAGATGTGTCTTGTTTTGTGAACTATGGCCAAAGACCAACTCTAAAATGGTTATATTTTAGCTAGAAGTTTAACAATTATTTGAGTAAAATTTAAATGATTAAGAAACTGATTAAGTGCTTATATTTCAATTTTAGAGCGGTTTCAGTTCCAACTACAGTAATTTATTTTACTTGCTATGATCAACTACGTGATGCCCTCGTTTATAAATTAGGAGATAATGACTACATTCCACTTATTGCAGGTGGCATAGCCAGATGTGAGTTTACTAATCTGTAGTTTATTGCTAACTGTTTACTATAACAAAACTTATATTAAACGTTAACCAGTATGATGATGTGACATAGCAAATATTTATTATGTAAAATAAATGAGCGTAATTATTTCTCTGCTTTATGATCAGAAGTGTATATTCCTTAATCTAAGAATATTGCCTAATATATGTGTAACATTTTGTGGCCTTTTAACTATGATTCAGAGTTAGGAGATATCCTTAGCATGAATGGCTCTTTTGTCTTGAATTCCTCCTTCTTTACCTTGTCTAAGCTAACATTGATTAAACTTAAATCTTAATGGTGAGCATGGTAAATATGTTAATGTAAAAGCTGAATATAGCATATATGTAACATTTCTCCTATTTCATGGCCTAGAGCAGTGTCCTCAAGCTTTTGGGCACCAAGGACTGGTCCCATGGAGGGTGATTTTCCATGGGTCGGGGGTGTGTGGTTTCATGTACTACCTACATCCTGCATATGGAGAGATGGGGCTTTGCTCGCGTGCACAGCCTGTTTTCTCGCAAGCTATGGACCACTGCCACTCTACAGCCCGTGGTTGGAGACCCCTGGCCTAGAGTATTATTAAGTAGCAGGGCAACAGAATATGAGCAGGACTTTTATAAAGAACACTTTTCATTGTACAGTAAAATTATACAGTGGTAATTTTAATATACCAGTTATGAATTGTATTTACTTGTTCAGGCATTTTCTTGTTTAAAACATTTCATAACATTTGGGACATTATATAATTGGGAAGAAAGTCTCTTTATCAGATTCATTTCAGTTTCCCACAACAGCTGTCATAAACCATCTATACTTGGAAGAGGGATTTTAATTTATTTGTAGTCCTAGGGTTATAATTCTAATTCAGACTGGAATTTCCATCACTAAAATAGTCATTAAGGAAAAGATCACATAACCATGTTTGTTAGTGTTAGTCAAAATTGTGTTTGTAAGGCCGGGACCTCATTCTTCTGTCCTGCATAGCTGTCTCTCTTTCAACTCCCTCCCCTCACCATTTCTGCCCCTTTGGTCACCTTACATTCCATCACTTTAAACCTCCACCCCAGGATCCAGGCACATAGGCTGTGTTGGCCCTGAGCTTGTCTCTACCCTTTAATGGAGGTTGAAGGCTGGTTCTTCAGAACTCCACCCAATATAGGAAGTGGAGGGATAAGGGATTCCTGGAGGTGCAATTCATATTCTGCAACTTGCATTGGGGAAAGGAGCCAATGGGGTGGGGGATGAGAACTTCCCAGAGACACAGTGTGTTCTACAGCTCATTTAGAAGCATTCCTGAAGTACTGGCCTGTGGGCTTCAATGAAGGGTGAAGGTGGAGACAAGCCCAGTGCTAACAAAATCTTATGTTCTGGATCCTGGGATAGGTGGCAGAGTGTAGGAGACCAAAAGTAATATTTTTATGAAAATGTGATATATTCATAATGACTAATGTTTTCCTTAACAACTAATTAGGCATAATTGTTTGTTGTGCTGTCTAGAGCAAGGTTAATACTAATTCTAGTAGGTTATGTACAATTATAACTGAATGTGTTTGATATAAAATGGCTATCAGGGCTATATGTGATCCATGTTGGAGTCTATAAAAATGCATGAATGAACAGATTTGTTAAGGACCCCATGGAACGAAGAATCTTTATTTTCATCTTCCTAAAATTCTGCTACAGTAGCTCTACAAAGGAGATGCAGTGATCTGAAGCTTAATTATCAAGAAAGGGAAAAGAAAAATCATAGCCATGTACTGACTTTGGGGCTATAAACCCAGATGCAGCCCATTATGCAAAGTGAAATGAAGACAGATTGCAAGAGGAATAAAGAACATGACCTCTTACTGATTGAAATCTTAAATATAGTAGTTAGCTATGGAGTCAGGCTCAATTCATGAAGTTTTTGAGCCAAGGAGCCAGCCAATTTTATCTGCTGATAAAATTAATTAAGATAGTAAGGTATACAGGTATAGCATTCCTTGCATTACAAGGGCAATTGGGACAGGATTGCCATCACTGGTGCAGTTGTAAAGCATGATATCATGTTATCATATTGCTTAGTGGCAACTTCTCCGCAGTCCCAGTTGCCACTCTAAGTCTAAGACTTACAAAAAAATACAAATGACCAGCTGTCTGCAAGGAATATAAATACTTCCATTTCTTACCATCCAGTCAGAACTGAAGAAGCTTCTTGGATGAGAAGTGAAATGTCTTCAAAGAAAAACAAGAAAGTCCAGTTGCCTCCTGAAAAGGCGCCTTTGGGACAACCATGACTTTGATGACTGAGAATCTCCATAGACATAGTATTAAATAGTTTGTCAAATAGGATTTGTTTAAAAAAATGTGGTTATTAAAAGCAAAACTGAAAACTTATTAATTTTACATATGAGGAATAGAGAGGATCATGAAATCTTACATTTAGAGCATTTCATTCTCATCACAATATATCAAGGTCAATGAAGCACTCATTGAATTTAGAATCATAATCTATATAATAAACCATATTAGAATTAGAATGGAGTGGAGTGGAGTGGAATGGAATAGAATAGAATAGAATAGAATAGAATAGAATAGAATAGAATAGAATAGAATAGAATAGAATAGAATAGAATAGAAGCTGGAAGTGACCTTGGAGGTCTTCTAGTCCAGCCCCCTGCTCAAGCAGGAGAACCTATACCATTTCAGACAAGTGACTGTCCAGACTCTTTTTAAAAGCCTCCAGTGATGGAGCGCCCACAATTTCTGAAGGCAGGCTGTTCCACTGGTTAATCTTGAGTTCTTTACATAAAAGTTGAAATAATAATTTATTAAATGTATATGATACCTGACTCCTAACAATTCTGGGATGAATTATACTGTTGGATCAATAACTATACATATGGTTATTATGAAGTGAAATACTTAATGCACAAAATAATAGATATGGGCATATACTGAAAACAAGTGTCTTGCAGAAAAAAGTTTGTAAATTTTGAGCACTGTGTTTCTTTTTCTTCCAAATCTAGTATGCTCTGCTACTATAATAAGTCCAATTGAAATGATTAGAACAAGAATGCAGTCTGGACGATTGACTTACACACAACTGCTTGCTCGCATCAGTACAGGTGTCACCCAGAATGGCTGGCTTTCACTCTGGAAAGGATGGGGTCCTACTATCCTTAGAGATGTGCCATTCTCAGGTATGACTTCTTTCTTTCGCATATTTTTTATATGTGCTGGCTACTGCAAGTTCTCTTCAACTGAGGATTTTAGTAAATGGGTTCACAAGATATAGGTTTTAAAAATACAATTGTGTTTTACAATTATAAAATATGTGCATATCATAGGTGTATGATACATCTTTCAAATGTACTTTCCTCAGTTAATAGAATGCAAACTCTATTTTTATAATTTTTTAGATGGTGGTTTTGGCTTTATTCCTGTATTTTTTCTTTAGATATTAACAAAATTATCTTGCTCTTTACTTTTGACAGAATTCAGTGCTGGAATCATAGTTATCCCTAGTTATTATTAAATCAAAGAAAAGTTAAGTTTTTCAGTAGTTGGCAAAGGAAGAGTACTGGACATTGATAAGTGCTCATATTTCTATTATTATTTGCAATTGTCTGGAATTAAAATAGTACTCAGATGAAAAAACTTTTTATGCTATTGTTTGTAATTGGATTCACACATGTTAAGTGTGGTTTTCTAAATATGCTTTATTACATAAATCACAGCTGGTTACATCATATTCAGCCAAAATTAAATAAATTCAGCCAAAATTAAATAAACTGTTTTATTCCCTAGCACAGTATCTGAACCTTATTTGTAGCGATGTTCATGCTTCATAGAAACTCCATCCCCAATCAGATAAGTCATAAATAGCAATAGCCATAGCACTTAGACTGATATACCGCTTCACGAGCTTTACAACCATCGCTAAGCAGTTTACAGAGTCAGCATATTGCCCTCAGCAATCTGGGTCCTCATTTTACTGATCTTGGAAGGATATGTCATGGCTCCATCGGAGCCCAGTTCAGAGGAGGAAGAGTTGGAACCAGGTCTGTCCAACGGAGATGGCACATCTCCCTTGGAATGTGTGAAGAAGCCAGGGGCTGAGGACAATGGTGTCCCAGGCCTCTCAGGCATTGGGGGAAGCGGTTGACCGGATGGAGAACTGCCTGCCCTCACAGACATAGGGGAGGATCGACTGCTGACAGGCAGTGGTTCTGATAGGCAGCAGATTCTCTCTGATGAGGAACAGCTGCCTCTCCCACTTGATCCAAGGGCACAGAGAGCGGAGCATAGGCAAGCTCAGAGAAGGGTTGCGTCACCCCTCCTCACTAGGAACATCTGGAGTGGATTGACTTAAGGAGAAGCTGTGGGAGTTAGTCTTTGCCAGGAACAATTGTTTGTTTTTGCTTATACTCCCCCACCTCTTGCCTTGCCTTGAGGACTGCCTTCTGTCTTTTGCCTTGCCTTGCCTTGTCTTGCGCCTTGCCTTGCCTTGCCAATTGCCTTTTGCCTTGTACCTTGACTTTGCCTCATGGACTCGTTTAGCTAGGTGGACTGGACTTGGGACCCTGGACCTTGCCCTGTGAGCATGCTCCTACTCTGTACTTTCTTTGCTATGTATAAACTGTTGTTTGGGGGACTGAAGGTAGCTGCCTTCAGGGTAGTGTAGGGTGGAGCCTTGTTGGAGGACCATTTGTTGGAACATTTACTTAGAGCAATAAAGGACTTTCTAGAGGTCTGCCTTGCCTTGAAGACCTTCATCATCTTTTTCCTCTGGCTGCTATTGAGGCATGCCTGGCTTTTCCTGGCCCTTTGTGAGTGCAGCCAGGTTAAGGGTAACTGCTGCCAGGGTAACGGTCATGGAAGCACGTAAAAGTTTCTGTTGCACTTCAAATTTCTAAAACAATTTGATAGCACATAAGCAATCAATTGCAATTTCAAACTTTTTAATGTTTCACAATTTGATCCCATAGCACTCTATTGGTACAATTATGAATATTTCAAGATGAACTTATGCAAGAAATCAAGTTTGCATGAGCCAACATTTTTTATCATCTTCTCATCAGGAGCAGCAGCTGGTTCTGTAAGTCACGTTTCTGTTGCTAATAATTCATATAAGAAAGCACAAGCATATTAAGCACTCATAAAATTGTAAAATATTTGGTCATTTAAACCTTATTTGAAATTAATGAAGTTGATTGAACAAAACAATAAATTAAAAATACATGTAATAAAAGTAGATGAAGTTTTAAAAGATTTACTTCTTTGAAATAGTGATTAGTAAGAAGGAATTTATCTGCTTTGGGCCTGCAATTAGATGGTAAACTAGATGATCAAGCAAGGGAAACAGAAGTTGGAGATTTATACTTTTGAGCTTTGGTATTGGAGAAAACTCCTGAGAATATCCTGGATAGCCAAGAAAACAAACAAAGCATAGATCAACTCACAAAATGTAGATTAAACTTCACCTAAGGGGCAAACCACCTGATACAAATTATATTTTCGACAAATGCTAAGACGTAACTCTCTTAAGATATCTATAACACTAGAAAAGGTGGAAGAAAAGAGAAGAAGATGACAACCATTAGCAAGATGGATGGACTCTTATTACAAACATAATAGATATACTGTTGGAAGTCTAATTTTCAAGATTGACATGTATACTTTTGTTATGATTATTCAATATGTTTGACATTCAACTAATAGCATAGTCAAGTTCACATTTTGCCATCTTAGTTATCAAGATTTAATGGTAGATTTGTTAAATATTTTGTTGAAGGTAAACTACAATATCTGTAATGCATTAAATTGATCACTCTGACAAAAAGAAAATCTGTTAGGACTAAGCCCAGCTGCTTTTAATTAGTCAAATTAATGTGGTTTAATTTAATGAAAGGTTATAAAAATAACATTGAATTCTAGCTATTGAATGAGTTATTACATTATTCTTTGTAAATATATGCACAAGGCTGAGGTTGATTACAAAATTACAATATTATTTTTCATAAAGTATTCTTTTAAATTAGGCTTTTGATATTTTTTCATATTTATTTTTTTAAAGTAAGGACAAGCAGTTATATAGTTGGATCTACTACAATATGAGTAGTAACTTTTTTGTTTTAATGAACAATTATAACTTGCTAAATTTTTTACAAATTTTACTCCATCTAGATTTTCTCAATAGGAATAAACTCCTGCTTTTATCAATATTTGGTATTTTATTTCAATTGTCTGTCCAATTAGCATGTTAAATGTTAAAGTTCATGACATTACAATTAGGGGGGGAAAAAAACTGAACAAGTATGCTTTGTTTGGAAGAGTTGCCAGTTGCCTCTTCTTTCTAAAAAGAACATGGCAGCACAGCTTAGATTTGCTAAGTTGTATCTGAATAAATCAGAAGACTTCTGGAACACTGTCCTTTGGACAGAGGAAACCAAAGTGGAGACGTTTATCCATAATGCACAGTACCATGTTTCATGAAAATCAGACAACAAATCAGCACAAACATCACATACCATCTCTCAAGCATGGTGGTGGAGGAGTGATGATTTGGGCTTGTTTTGCAGGACTCTGGGCACCTTGTAGTCATTGAATCAACCATGAACTCCTCTGTATATCTAAGTATTCTAGAGTCAAATCTGAGGCCATCTATCCGACAGCTAAATATAGGCCGACATTGGGTCCTACAACAGGACAATGATCCCAAGCACACCAGCAAATCTCCAATAGAATGGCTGAGAAAGAAAATAATCAAGGTGTTGCAATGGCCCAGTCAAAGTCCAGACCCCAACCCTATTGAACTGCTGTGGCGGGACCTCAAGAGAGCTGTGGATAAACAAATGCTCACAAACCTCAGTGAACTGAAGCAGTAAAGTTGTGGGCCACCTCCACAACAATGTGAGAAACTGATAAAGTCATGCAGAAAAAAATTACTTCGAGTTATTGCTGCCAAAGGTGGTTGTACAAGCTATTGAATCACAAGATGTGCTTAGTTTTTCACACATGGCTTCTCCACTTTGACTTTCTTTTTGTAAAATAATGACATGATATATAATATGTCATGTGTTGTAGTTCATTTGAGGTAGTATTTACCTACTTTTAAAAACCATTAAGGACCAGATGATTTTTATTATGTCCTGATATGTACAGCTATAAAACTCAAAAAGGGTGTACTTTCTTTTTCATATGACTGTACATATTTTTTCTTGTTCCTTCCCTTTTTCCTTTTTTTACATCCCCTTTTTCTTTTTCTTCTATTTCTATTTTTTTGTAGTTTGTATCATTATTCTCTTCATTTATAGTTCTTAATAAATTTGAAAAAATAGAAATTCATATTGTAATAATATATTAATTCTGGTAAACATTTAAATTGCATTTTATTCCAGTTTTGAAAATTATACTATTTGCATTTTGGCCATTTAACATTTATAAGTATTCTTCTTGCAGATTGCAGCTACATTAACTTTACCGTTTGATGTAATAAAAACACACCGACAGACTGAGCTTTGGGAACTTGATATTACACATTGTAAGTTTTTTTAAGATTCAGAGGTATTCTAGTCCATAATGTCTGCCTATTTTAGTATACATTAAGCCCTGTCTGGGGCTTCAGACTTTTATTATTGATGTATTTATAATATCAAGAATTGTATATATTCAATCCTACACTACTTGGAATCTGCAGAATGCTGCAGGCTGTGTTATTACCTCTATAAGGAGGAAAATAATATTCAGAAAATGTTAGGTTACATTATACATTTTTTATTTTTAAAAACCTAATGTCATATTAGAAAAGGACTTTTTCTTGTTTATAACATACAACTATAGGATAGAAAACACAGTGATTTTATTAGAAATACTACTGTGCGAAATATACTTCTAAAGGTTAGTATAGCACATGACTTCTGATTATAAGGAATATAATAAGATGCTTTTGTTTTGCAGTTTTATATGTGTCATTTTAAGTGGATTTATTTTAAATCTTATGTTTGTTAAAAACTGCCTTATAATTAAAAGACATTAAATGTTCAGAACAGATTTTGACTGTATTCCATCTGAAAATAGTCTCTCAAGATTAAAGTTATTATCATACAGTGGGTAAAACAAAATTGACATTAAAGCATATTAAATAAGTATAGAAAAATGAGATGTGTTTTCTTTTAATCAGCTCCACAGAAGAAAACTGGATCAATATGGGAAGTAATGAAGAGAATTGTGATTCAAAATGGATTTACTGGATTATTTACTGGTAAATTCTTTTTGTTGCTGACTGTAAAATATTTTATTTCTACATATTACACATATAGCAATATTAAAGTTTTACTACATAATCTAAGAAAGCTTTTAGCACACTGTAAGATCTCCCTATAAACTGTTTTTGGCAGTTTTGAAAAACAAAACTCCAAAATAAATAAAATCATAGGGATGGATTCAATAAATTAGTTTGGAAATATTTATTACCATCTTTGATTAAAGACTGCTAGAAGGGACATATAAGAAATGGATATATTAAGAATATTAAAAAGTAGAATAAAACAATTTTGACATATTAATATAGCCATTTGTTTAAAAGTCTATATCAGGGCTTTTCAACCGGTGGTATGCGTACCACTTGTGGTACATTAATGAGTGGCAGGTGATACACAGCCCTGCCTAGCCAAGTGTAGTGGGGGAGGGAAAGAGCCAGCACAGGCAAGGACTTACAGTGAGAGAGTCCTCTGGAGCTGCAAAGGCCCCAGGCTCACTTCTGGCTCACCCTCCCCCATGAGAAAGGAGGAGGGGGGCGGAGACAGGAGAGCCTATAAGAGGAGGCAGTTTGGACAGGAGAGGGAGAGAGAAAAAAAGTAGCAGCTTTAGGAGGAGGCAGAGTCAGCTGCACAGGAGGGGAAAGGTGGGGGGACAGGAGATCAAACAGGCTGGCCATGAGCCGATCTACAACTTCTGTGGCAGCCAACTGTGCTGGCAGCAGCAAACAGGCAAGAAATGCAGCGGGGGAGGGGTCGCCATCCAAGAGGAATGAAAAAAGGCAGCAATGGTTAGAGGTGAGGCACGGAGGAGGGAAGGAGATAGAGAGTGGAAGGATTCTTATGTGCTTTTGTGACTTTGAAGTTCTGGGATTTGGGCAATGAGGGCTTTGTGTTCTTAAGGAGTGTTTGGCAATTTCTATTTGGCTGATGGCTGATGTCTCCCGTTAGCTTCTATTGCTCTGCTATTGTTAGCTGTAAGTTTTGCTGCAAGGGATTTTGAAGTATTTTTCTCCTGAATGATTTTGCCTGTAGCATTCCTTTACTTATGAATGGAGCCATTTGGGGAGGCTGCCTTAGTTGGCAGTCAATACTTACTACATTTTTTTTCTTCCTTAAGTGCCAGCTGCGCTTCTTAACTTTCCTTTCTAGCCAGTAGCTAATTCTTAAAGGGGAATGTGCCTTTTTAAGTTAGTTCGCTCAGCAGCTTGTATTTTCTGTCTCTGGAGGCCTTTCCTTGTTTGATCAATATATGGAAGAGGGAAAATATGGGGGGTGGGGGTGGTTTCAAATTCTTCCTTCAGAAGGAGATGGGAATGAGAAAAAGGGAGGCAGGGAAGGGAGGGAGGAAAGGAAGTCCTGCCTTAGCACTTGGCCACCAGCAGCTATGCCATTGACTTTGCTTGTCAAAAGGTTGCAGAAGGGGATCACATGACCCTGGAACACTGTGACCATTATAAATATGAATCAGTTGCCAAGCATCCAAATATAAATCACATGACCCTGAGCATGCTGCAATGGTCATAAGTGTGAAAAATGGTCATAAGTCATTTCAGTGCAATTTCAACTTTGAACAGGTGTTTTTTTTTGGTCATCAAGTTTTTGACACCTTGTTAGGTAATACTCGAATATTGCCATATCCTAAAAGTGGTACAATCGGTAAAAAGGTTGAAAAGCCCTGGTCTGTATCAGCTTGAGGCAGAATCAAAGGTGATTAATTGACAAAAAAATAGCTTACTGTATATTCCAGAATGTGTAAACTAATTTGGTGTTGATCAAGGAAATTAAATTCCTTTAATCTTCTTATAGAATCTGATTAATTTCTTAATCAAATTACTAAGTTTTTTTTTCTTCTGTGCTACCATTAGCACAAAATATTTTCTTCTAGTTATTGACTCAAAATGAATGAATCATATAAAGACTGCTGACATCAAGGATTTGTCAGAGTTGCCATTATGTGTACATTTATGTTTATGTTTGTCTAATGCAGGGGTGTCAAACTGCTGGTCCGTGGGGTGGTTGCATTATAAGGAGGCCGCGCCCACCCCAGCTCCGGCAATGCAAAAAAATTCACGATACGTGACGTGGCAAGTTTGACACCCATGGTCTAGTGCAGGGGTAGGCAACCTCAGCTCTTTTATGACTCATGGACTTCAATTCCCAGAATTCCTGTGTCAGCTATGCTGACTCAGGAATTCTGGGAGTTGAAGTCCATGAGTCATAAAAGAGCCGAGGTTGCCAACCCCTGGTCTAGTGGTTAAGGTATTCGATAGAAAAGTAGGAGACATGAGTTCAAGTTTTACCTAAGTCATAAAAGCCAACTGGGTGACCTTGGCCCCAGTGTTGTTGTTGTGGGAAAAATAGAGGAGAAAAGTGTGCTATTTGTAAAAAATAATAAACATGGGATACAAATAAAAATAAATAAATAAATAAAATCAAACAACAATGAAATTTGACTATCATCCCAATTATACAGAATTTATTCTCAAGCATGCTTTAATACAGGTTTGAGTAAACACATTGTTAGTTTGTATATAGCATTAGGTTACACAGATCAATCTTAAATATTACTTTGGAAATGTAAAAAAGCAAGCAATGGTTTTATAGACAGAGTATATTGTTTTGGAAGTTTTTTCAATATCTAGTTTCTTGTGCTACTTCATTTTTCAATACCTATAATTTTTCTTTTCCTGCAGGTATTATTCCAAGATTGACAAAAATTGCTCCTGCTTGTGCCATAATGATCAGCACATATGAATATGGGAAAACTTTCTTTCGTAGATTAAATAAAGACAACGATATGAAGAACTATTAATGTTGTTTCTATAAAATTGAAATGATGTCAGTACTCAGTAGACATAAAGGTCCACATAAGTTGTATTTTATTAGTTTCTACACCCATTGCATATGCATCCATGCCTCCACCAACATTATGTTCAGAATTATTCCCTATATGTTTGATATCCAAAAAAACCCTCGATCATGCTTCAGACATAAAATACAGTTAATGTTGCATAAACATATGGGAAAGAAAAAGACTGAAATCAGCATATGTTCCTGCAAAAGGAAGTGAATACATAAACTTTAAAAGCAATTTTCAGATACATAGTGGAACCTCAGTATTTGACTACTCTGAAAGTTTTAGAATTTGGTATTTGACATATTTTATACAAAAAATTTGTCCTGGTACTTATTGTTTGATACTCGATGCACAAGCTAGAACTTGTCAGTATTGGCTGCTTCGTGACTCACTGCCTTTTCCAGCCAAAACAAAGGGTTATGTGTTAACTCTGGCTCTATGCACATCCTCTTGCACTTTTCACTTCTGTGGTCATTTTCTGTATTTTTGTGCTTCTAATCATGGGTCCTAAGAAAATGAGCAATGATAGCACTGAGCAGAAAAGAAAATTACTTTGCACCACATTGAGAGAGAAAAAAAGGAGAAGAAATAATAGGCAAATATGAAAGTGGTATTCGCATTACTGATCTTGCTAGGGAATACAATATGCCTAGAACAATATCATTAAGAAGAAACTATTAAAAAGGAATTAAAGCAATAACAAAGTAGTGTTCCCAAACACTTGAAGTTCAAAAGTTGTTAATTTGGGTAAACAAGAAGCAATTAGTGGGTGACATTGTGTCAGAAGACATGATATATGAAAAAGCGAAATTTGCACAATGCTCTTTTGAAAAACCGGCACCAGGTGGTCAGAGTGTTGAAGTTTTTAAGGCCAGCCACGGTTGGTCTGATAATTTTGAAAATAGTGTTGTGAGGCATAGCAAGGCAGTGAGTACTAATAAGGCTACTGATGAATCCACATCTGTGAATTTCATGATTACATAGAGGCTGATGGTTTTGTTCCCTATCAGTTTGTTAACTGATGAGACTGAACTTTTTTGGGGGGGAAATGCCGAAAAGAACCTACATCACAAAAGAGGAGAAGGCATTACCAGGTCACAAACCAATAAAGACATGCTATTGTTGTGTGGGAATGTTAGTGGGGACTTAAAAATCAAGCCTCTACTAGTCTATCATAGTGAAAACCTGCAAATTTTCAAGCAGCATAATGTCATAAAAAGGGAATTCCATGTGATATGGAGGCCAAACAGCAAAGTTTGGGTCATGAGGCAATTTTTCACCAAGCGGATAAATTAAGTATTTGGTCCCTCAGTGAAAAAATATTTGCTGGAGAATGATTTGTCTCTGAAAGCTCTCCTACTAATGAACAATGCACATGCCCACCCTCCAGGCTTGAAGGTTGACTTACGGAAGGATATCTGCTTCATCACTGTAAGGTTCCTGCCCCTCAGTACTATTCTCACCCAGCCCATGAACAAGTAGATCATTTCAAATTTCAAAAAGTTGTACTCCAAGATGCTTTTCCAGAGATGTTTTGAAATAATCTCTGACACCCAGTTGATCCTCACAGAATTCTGAAAGAAATATTTCAATATCCTGCACTGCCTTAACTTTACTAATAAGGCCTGGAACAAAGTCTCTTATAAGGACAATGAATTCAGCATGGAAGAATTTGTGACCAAAAACTGTGACTCAGAGACTTCAAAGGGTGTGAGGCCGACCCTAAGCCTGCAGGTACATAGGGTACAATTGTGCAGGTTATGTATCTTTGGGCCTATCCAGGGAACTAGAGATCAATGCTGCTGAAGTTGAGTTAGTGGAAGAATATGAAGAACTTAGCACTGAGGAGATGCAAGAATTACAGAAGTAGCAGCAACAAGAGGCGGCTAAAAAGATTTATTCAGGTGAGATAAGGGAAGATGTCCCCAGTTCCTTGATAAAAAAAAATGCATGAAAAATGCACAGTTCAAAACTTTGTGGAGAAATATCATCTGGACAAAACTTTGACAAGCAATTTATTCAATGACCAAACAATTTCACACCTACAAGGAATTCTGAAAAGAAAACAAGCAATCCTCACTGGATAAGTTTTTAGTGAAGGTGACAAGGTGACAACTTGTGGTGCAAGTTGAAGAAAAGACAGAAAAGCAACTAATGTTGTATTGGAGGGGGGCTCTCCTTCCAAGCAACACTCTGTGTAACCTCTCCTCACTATTCTCCCACCATCCCTGTTAGAGCTTACCCAGACAAAGAGCAAGAGCCAATTCCAGGCATTTCAGAAGAGGGCACGGGGAAGAGTCAGGAAGAAGCTGAGGTCTCTGTTCACTCCAAGCAGAAAGTGAATGGGTCAGAGGAAGAAGAGAGGCCAGGAACCTTGGAGGGGCCATCAGGGAATGACCAGACAAGTGCTGGCTGGAGAGGAGAAATGCAACTGTAGCTTGGGCTTGGAGACCTAGTCAGAAGTAAAGAGTGGAAAAGGATCACAGCTGCAGTTGGTCAGTGGGATGAGAATGAACTGCCTCCTCCAGATCCTAGAATGCACAGGGTTGAACAGAGGGAGGCAAAACAGTCAGTGAGGTTACTCACAAAGGAAGCAATCTCATCCCTCCTAATGAATTACACCAGCATGTACCTATTTAGCCCAATGCATGGAGCAACGTGACATTGGAAACAGCTGCCAGTTTTTTCTGCTATTTATGTGCTCTAACTCCATGACTCCAATTTTCATGACTTCAGACCTGTGCTTCTCGTGACTGCATGTTTGGATTTCAGACCTGCTTCTCGCATTTTGGATTTGTACTTGACTTGGTTTTATTGTGTGTAGATTCTGGATTGTGCCTGGATTTCAGACTGTGTGTGTGAACTTGCAGATTTGTGCCTTTTCCTGTGTTCTTTACAACCTTGTGCTAGGTTGAACAGGCTTGGACTCAGGAACTTTGCAGTTGATGTGAGTGGGATCTGTCTTAATAAAATCTTAAAACTCAATTTGAGTTTGTGCATGTGGACTGGAACAGGACAATCCCATTAGGACACGTACTCTTCTCAGGTAAAGTGAAGTTTTTATTTTATTCAATTCAAATACATTAATTATTAATTTTTAGGTTTATTTCTCATATAATGATATACAACCCTATTTTTTTTTTTACTTATTGCCTTAAAATGTGCATTATCTTTGGTTCAGGAACACATTAAATTTATTCACATTTTTATGTGAAAAATTTATTTGGTCCTCATTGTTTTGGTACTTGTCATGCTTCCCGGGACCAATTAACAATGAGTACTGAGGTACCACTGAAAATTAATTTTTAATTTTTCCAAATTAGTATTTATACTCTGAAGAAAACTTTCAAGTAATTCAAAAAAAGTTTAACATATTAGATAGTCAATATGATATGTGTTTGAAGAGGTCACAAAAATAGCATGAACTAAGTAATCTCTGATACCTAATAGAATTTTCCAAATTTTTAAGGAAAACATCTATATATTTTACATATTGTTATCTACCTTAAATGAAAGGATTACCTAAATATCTAATCTTTTCTGATACATTTTTAGAAAAGGAAAACAAGATTGTTTTTTGAGTTGCTTAAGGTGTTGTACTGGGACCAAAGAGATTTAGATTCGAGTCTCCACCTAATCATGAAGATCACTGGATACCTGAAGTGAGTGCTGGTTGCTGATCTAGTGTTAATTTTGGTGTTAATCTCAGCTAAATGTTTTAAAACATAGCAAGCAGAGATTATCTGTAGACCAACTAATGCATTATCTAGACCAGGCATGTCAAACTGCCGGGATGCATCACGACGAAACCGCACCCACCCCATTGCCGGCAATGGGGGAAAAAGTCACGATATGTCGTGCGACATCACATGACGTCGTGAGTTTGACATGCCTGATCTAGACAATCAAACACTAGACCAACAATCAAACAGTAAACAACAGCCTAATGAAGGAATCACCAAGAACACTGTACCAGCACTTGGGAGGACAAGCCACTTGTATATAAACAGACAGCAAACCCCACTCTTAGTACTAATGTTACTTAATCAGATAATGAAACATTTGCAAGAAAACAACCAAGCTAAGAGAGCTCCTAGGACCTCACAGATATATATACCCAACCCTCATGTTTTTTTTTATACCTTGTATACAGTACTTCCTGGAACAGTACACAATTTTAAGATACTACTAGATTAATATGTGCAGTGATTTATAAGTACTGTAAATTACTCAGTTAAATATTGTTTTGAACTAGTAGAATCAAATATCAGTAGAACAATATTGTTACTTTTTATTCACAGCCATTTTCATGAAGGATTAGGATAATTTATATTGAAAAGTAATCACAGTAGACTTGTTTATTGAAATCAGGGAAACAATTTTAGCCAAATATTCAGTGCATTGATATAAATGAGTTATTGTTATTACTTTAAAAGCTATTTTTTTCAGTTGTGTACTAAAAGGTATAGACAGAACTATTTTAAGTCTATATGCTACAAGTATCATAAGAAAGAACAGGTAATATTCTATAACTAGAAGAAAACAACTAATTCCACGTTGACTAATACTATGTAAATAAGCTCATTAAAGTGATGTATGGAAAAATTAATACAGAATCCCCATTCTTATATAATTCTGTGCCCAAAAGGTGATAACAATATGGTTGAAACCTTTAAAGACAATCTTAGCCTAAACTGTGATTCACCAATTTATATGTTCAGTAATATTGAAAAATGCATAGGAAGAAAGAAAATATAACAACGTCTTTCGTTTAGCTGTTGGTACTGAAGCACTAATGACCTATTGACTTTCAGGTACAACAATATATATGTGTGATTTTTCCAGATAAAAACCAAGCTTTCAGTATTAGAATAGCTATTGTTCCTAACATTTGTCTACAGCACTTAATACTGTCTTGCTTAGCACCAGAAACTCTGAGCTCACTCGTGGTCATAAGTGAAGGACTATCATTGATAAAACACACTCATGCTTTATAAGAGCCTGTTCTCTTGAATAATTAGACTCCAGTGATAATGAGATCAATTGCCACAGTTGATTCAAACTACTTAGCGTTACTGAATGTAATCTGGGCAGTAGTCCAGTCATCAAGAAATAGTACAACTATAGGCAGCAGTGGTACAAAATGTTTAATGTATCTGCAATGTTGACACAACAACTCAACACATTTGCATAATTTTGGTTAGTTTTTCATTCTGAAAGCTTGGCAATTTTTCAAATTCAAGGCAGTCTTTTCATGCACAAGCATTGATTCAGTTGTTTTTTTCATACATACATTAAAATTTTTCACCCCAACTATTCCAATCAGTCATCAGCTATTATAAAAACTTAACTGTTCTAGATCAACAACTTATTGGACCATACTGGATTTCACATACAAGCTTGTTAGTGTTAGTCTACATTATATTTCTCATTATGTTCTTAAAAGATATTAATTTCACAAGAGATAACATGCATTAAATTACTTTATCAGGTAGCTAGTACATGTCATTCGACAAAGCAGGAGCTATTTCATTTAAAAATTTAGCTCACCACATACGTTACCACAATAAACTTACCAATACAGGATTCTGAGTAATCGTGTGCTTCCCTATCCCATTTTTTTTTCAAAGCAAGTCTTGCTGGAGGCACGTCATTTGTTTAAATTAGTAGTAGTCACACTGACAATAAAATTTCTGCACTTGTAGATACCCACATGTTGCAGCACACTAGTAAACAATGTACAGAACTTCTTTGGCACAATAAAGCATCTCCTCATAGTCCTCAAAATCAGAGGTCCCTGTAAATATGAATGTTTTACACAAGATTGTATTAATATACTCAACCGTTGCCAGTAATGCTGGAAAATAAACTCTTACTAAATAGAATTGCACTTCAAAGTTTAAATTGCAAAGCTTCAAAAATTAAATAAAGTTTACTGTTATCATACCTATTTGGCCCTCATTTTAAAATTTCATTACAGAATAAATAGCAAAAAATAGATTTGAATCAAAAAATTGCAAAATACTTAAAACATTTATATGAAAATCTAGTGTAACATTTTCTTAGAAGTTTTAGAATGAACCACTATAATTGTAATATTTTCTTTGCAGATTGAATTTAGTGATTAATATTTTTATTTATAGTGGATTTTAGTTTTAATTATTGTTTGTTGAAAACATGAATATTGTTATGGCGTTGATGTGTATCTTTGTTTGCAAAGACAGTTATTAAATACAGTTTTTTAGATTTATGGAAACAAAAAAGAAAGCATTTTTTAAAAACTGAGTTGACATTTTATAAGTCTTAACAATAAATTAAGGAATGCCAATTGAATGCAGAAATAAAAGCTTCTTTCTGTTTAGGCTTGTTCAAGAAGGTGTTAGACCAGGACTTGTTATCTCTGTTGTAGGACTTGCAAGATATTCACTTGATTTCAAGCTGGTGAGAGATTTGTAACTTGCAACTGATGTTAAAGAACCACAAAGGCCAAGTAATGAAGGAGTATCTTCTTTCCCTATTGAAGAAAGTTTTAGTTTAACAGTAGTAAACACATTAAATATGAGATGTTCAGGGCAAGATTAAATTGTTTTCCCTTCTCTAGATCTTTCACCCAAACTACTGCTATTTCAAGAAAGAAAATAGCATTGTTTACTTCATTTTCTTCTTTCAAGCTACTATTATATATGCTGATGAGCAGGGACAAACCCATGGAGTTTCCCTTGTACGCAACATGACAGAATCAAAAGAAAATCGTATTAAAATACCAGAAATTTCTATGCCTGTATTTTTCACCATTTTATTCTTTTTCTATCTTTGCCTGTATATTTTCAAATCAGCACTTTTGTTGAAATACCAACTCTGCTATATTCAGATATAGCTCATTGGGTCATCATTTCAGAGATATTTCCTTCTCTAAACAAAGAATCACCAAATGCAAAAAAAATCAGGGGGTGCAGAAGTGAACTTCTAACTTCCTACCGGCTTGACTGCAGCTGACTATCCTTCAGCAGTCAATTATGGGACTAATCCAGGGGTAGGCAACCTTGGCTCTTTTATGACTCGTGGACTTCAACTCCCAGAATTCCTGAGCCAGCATGGCTGGCTCAGGAATTCTGGGAGTTGAAGTCCACGAGTCATAAAAGAGCCAAGGTTGCTTACCCCTGGACTAATCTAACCAGCCTCTGGTGGGCTAGGGTGGAACCAGTCTGCCTGATCTCCAACGGCTGAAGAAGCAGCTGGTCTACCTGGTCTCCAAAGAGCTAATGCAAGACTAGTCTAATGAATCTCTGGGCAGAGAGGCATGATAGCAGTACTGAAGACCACAAATTTGCCAATTTTAATCCCATGGAAGTCATGGATCCTGGATTTTGAACTCATTCTGTAAGTCAGCCCTTTTGAGGTACCACAATTCAAACGCTGCTGCCCTACGATGCGCTGTTTCACCCAGTTAAAAGTTATAGACATGAATGTTTTAGTAGTATATAATTAAAAACCTCAGCAAGTTAAACAAAATTATTTTTAGTTTCTAGTCTCAACATCCTTTACAATGTTCCTCAGCTTTACCCCAAAAATCTCAATGTTTTTGGAGATGAGCCAACATTTTATTCCACAAGACAAAAAGCAGTGTCAAAAGTGTTTCAGTCCAGTCCATTTAAAATACCAGACTTAAATTGAAATATAGGTTTATTTTATTTTGTTATGTTGTACAAACTATCTTGCAGTTCTATATTTTACCATAAGATGGAGTTTTATTCTTTGATGAAAATATTTTTTCAACATTTTTTCAACATATTAATTTCAGACCTCACACTATAATCAATACCAGGACAGATGCTGAAGAATTGCAGTTTGCTCTCAAAATCAAAGCTGAACAGATAGCAAAGAGATTAGATAGATAGAAACCTTGCATAGATTTGTATTATCTATGAAAATTATATAATTATACCTATTCTCCAAAATGTAAGAAAAAGCATGTGTTCCAAATACTGTTTGAATAAATGTAATTATATTATTCCGCAGCAGCAAATACATAATATCATTAGCAAATCAGGCAAGTTTAGTCTCAAATCTTCATTTGAGACCAGAAAACGTACATGTAAGCAGATTACAAATCAGATATTTATGCTGCCATTTATACTACATTCATTCAACTTAATTTAATTTTGAATTGCAGATTTGTAGTTCTCAAGCTATACATAGAATAACTGTATAGTCTTATGTATACCTGCAAATTAGTCATTATACACAGATTTTGGGATTGTTCACCTTACCTTCACTAAGTAAATTTAGTCCATCTTGCTTCCCATCTGCATCTGGTACATTACCTGGATCCAGGGATGTCTGATAAAAGCTTACATCAGATGAGAGCTGATCCGGGCTGTGATAACTCTTTCTGCAATATCAGTGACAACTCATTTCATTACTTTTGAACTGATACGCAACAGAAATAACTATTTGTTTCACAATTTTCTAATGACAGTATATCTTTTTATAACACTATACATGCTTTAAATTTTCTCCCCTGCTTCTCCCCCAAAATGTGTAACACAATATAGTACATAAAACTGGAAAAGGAGTTAAGACTGTTAATATTATACTAATTTACTCTGAATCCAGCCCATAAACTTTTTTTAAAAATCACACTTTTAAATTTTTGCTTATGTTTATATATTTGCTACCATATTAGTGTTGGCTTATTTTATGCACTTGAAATTTTTAACATATACGTTTGTATCTAGCTATAGACTTATACAATGTATTGTTCGAGTTGCTATCTATCAAATATTTATCAAAAATATTTAGATAATTTGACTGAAATAAAGGAATGTAATTTTTCTAATAATATTTTGAAAAAGTATCAATAAAAATTCTGTGTTATTAATATTTCACTGTATCCTGCAAAGTTAAGAAATGTTACCAAAGGCACATAAAATTTAATAATTACTCATAACGGCTACATATATCAATGCTATACCAAGCTAAAATGAGTTAGTACCACAGAAGCATATATGTGTCACATTCAAAAATCCCCCATCATATAAGCAGGATACAATTAGAGCATTATTATTTATGTTCTTTTGTATCAATTGCCTTTCCTGCACTGAATTTCTGCACTGTTATTATTGGATGATGTTACTGATGGGTTTAGACCTACATTTTCCTTATATAAACTTCTGTGTGTATGTACGTATACACACAAACACAAAACTGCAAATGAATAATGCTAATTGGTTGAAATATTTCGTGTTTAAAAATCAAAGGACTAATTTATTAATCAACATTAAATATGCATTTAAAATATGGTTAATCCAGTGGAAGATCTTCTTTTGAATATATTAAATTCATAACAAGATGCTAAGGGCTGAAGTTTACTTTCAGTATGTTGAATGTGTGGAAGGGTCATTGGCATATATGTTTGGGCCTTCTCCATAATGGTCCCTTTTTGGTTTAATATTAATAGATATCTTAATAGCGTATTGGGAAGATAAATGAGATACAAAGATACTGATGTAATATTGAACTATTTTCATATATTTGGAATTCAACATATGAAGGACTCATATTTATCAAGTTTGAATTGTAGCTAGAAATTAATGAAAATACATTCAATCCTTATTTTAAAGCCTGGACTGATGAAACGTATCCACTTTCTACTATCAGATTTTTGATACTGACATCTAGACAGTTTGAGCTACATTTCGTCATGTGAAAACTTTAAACCTTAACATCAGTCTATATAAACGTAATCAGATCCAATTTTTTTAACCTGTATGTCGCTTAGATGCAAAAGGACCACCTGAGCAAAAGGTTACCCAAACAAACCAACATCTCATTTACATTCTATGTCTTTTTCCCATTCATAATTCTAAGTAATTAATGTTTAATATATAAAATGAGTAGAAAATAATAAAAATAATAAGCACAGCTAAACTATCACTTCCTTACAAGTCACATGATATTATTTTAACCATGCCAATTGGAATTTATTGGCACTATTTTTTTCCTTGTTATCTGTCTTGTTCTTGCACAAAAGCAAACACATGCCATGTTGCAAAAGCAAAGCTTATCAGCTCACCTCCTTTCAAAACAAAAATATATGTTTCTTACAAAATATTACATTAAACATAGTTGTAAATTATTTCAATTATTTTTCTTTGAAAAGCAAGGCTTAAATATGAGATAAAATATAACTAAACTATCAAATATTTGATTGTAATACCAGCCCTAAATATTATAACATCTATTTTATGACCAATATAAACTCTGGGACTATGTTAGCAAAAATATATGGTTAATAATTAAATGGAATTCTATAAATATGAGAAAAACAAGTAAAGTTCTTATATATTACCAACACATGGCTGTCTATGGAATTCAGTGCTACTAGATGGCTAATCTAAATTATTTAAATAAAATTTGACACATCAATGGAGGATAGATCTATCAATGGTTATTGTCAACAGCTATATAGTTATTATTTCCAAAATAATTTTAAACTATGACAAGTAACATAAAAGGTGAACTGTCACCTACATGTCCTGTTTTGAGGTTTTCTAGATGAACGTAATCTTCAACATTGAAATGGAAGAAACTGATGTAGAGAGGCTTTGGGCCTTATTGATAAGGGCTTCCCTTACTTTCTTACATACTGACCAAATCAAAATAGAATTCCTAAGTTTCCAGAAAATGTTGAGAATCTCCCAAAACATATATGCATAAATAGCGTATTTAAAACTATCTTTAAATGTGTGTCTTGAAAAAAAATGTATCCACACTTTCATATCATCCAGTAAAGTATGTAAGCAGTAATGGCTGAACTGCTATTTATTGATGAGGAAATCTTTATTTGTTCCAAGAAAAACAAATTCTAAACCATGCTTGAGATAGGATAGGTCTGTATACTTCTACAGCTTTGGTACACTCTTTGTTATTAAAGATCAAATACTTATCTTGATAGTATATGCATTAATAATAAACAATCTCATGTTAAAAAGTCAATAATATCCTAATGGAAATTTGTATCAAAAATTTAAAAGCAATACTGTTTCCTATGAGCATGTTTAAATGATCTTAATTATTCCAGTGTACCATATACATATTGCCCCAAATAATTTTTATTTCAACAATTTTAGAAACCCTAATTTTAAGATTTTAGCATTGTTCTAAAGTTAAGCAATAGCTCAGTTGAACAAATACCATTATTCTCTGATACATAATATACTACAATATGCTTAATTATACCTCACCAGCTTGTCAAATTGGGCTAATATACAGTTCAATTTTGAAATGAAAAACAATGCAAATCTGATGCAAAATTTAAAGCCTGTCAAAGCCTTAATGCGGAACAAAGTATAGAAATCTTTCTTGTGAGTTCTGCAATCTGTCTACAGTTCTTAAGCATTATATTTGATCAGTATGTTTTTAATTATGGTTAATAAAGCCAAGCTTGGAAAAGGAAAAGATTCACATACGAAAAACACAAGATAGGCAGTATCTCAATATCTTGCAAGCCTTTAATTATACTCGCACAAGTTTGATATATTTCCCAAGGACAGCCATTGTCACATGCAGTGCTCACAAAAATTATGCAATTTCAAAATATTTTGAATGTTATTTTTGCTTCCCATCTTTCTAATGTAGCAGATAATAAATTTTTTGAACAATTTGCATTGACAAGCAAAATTAACAAAAACAACCTACTTACACAGGAAGTGGTTTACATTAGTAATAAATCACTTTGTGCACACACAACAGTATAAAAATTGTGCATTGGGTACTATATAAACTATTTCTATTATAGCACTCTAAATGTGTTTTAAGGTAATGAAATATTTATCACGAGTATTTCTGCATTGTTTTAATAATTAGGCATTCGGCAGTTTTTGGTTGTCTGCTGAATCTAAAATTCTAATGGATGAGATATGCATGTGGAGAAGGTGAATGAGATTTCTGGGATTTTAGGAGCACTGCACAAATATATCAACTTACTCATCCCATTGCTTATTTTGCTTTCCATAAAGTAGCGTATCCAAGGCAACAGCATTAACATCCAGAGCTCCTGGGGAAGGCCACTGATTGGTGAGATGGGTAGTTAATTCTTGTCTTGATCTTAAATCATTATTCTTTAGCACAGTTCTGTGAACACATAGTGAATTTCATGCCATTAAAAGTAATGTCTTAAAATAAAGGAAGAAAATAGGCTGTTCTTGAAAGGTTTTCCTGCTAGCATACTAAAGCATTTTCTCTCAAGAGATTTCTCAATCAAAATTTGGCTGTTGAAGAACAAAATTGAATTCACGTGACACAACAGTATGGGGTGTTTTTCTTGTATAAGGGCAATTCGTAAATAAACCTCCGTTTGGTTATCAATGACAGACACTTGCAGATACAGAACTTTTATTACACACATTAGAAAACTACAACATTACATTACTTTTTGACATAATCGCCATTCAAATTGAGGCACTTGTCATGACGTCTTACAAGGTTTGAAATTCCTTAGTAGTAGTCACTCGGTGCCAAATCTGGGCTATGGAGGGGTTATCAAAAACATCCCAATGGAACTGCTTCAAAAGTTCTTGGATGTGTCTAGCGGTGTGTGGGCAAACATTATCATGAACCAACACCACAACCGAAGACAGCATGCCCTGACGCATGTTATGGATGGCTCGTCTGAGTTTTCATAAGGTTTCACAGTAGACTGAATTGATGGTCGAACCATGCTCCATGAACTTCACTACTTCTTTGGCATCTTCACATTTGGCGGGATTATCTATGGCACCACTTCTGGTGTAGTATTGGTTCATGATAATGCTTGCCTGCACACTGCTAGACGCACTTAAGAACTTTTGAAGCAGTTCTGTTAGGATGTTTTGGATCTCGCCTATAACCCAGATTTGGCACTAAGTAACTATTACTAAGGAATTTCAAACCTTATAAGATGTTATGACCAGTGCCTCAATTTGAATGGTGATTATGTCAAAAAGTAATGTAACGTTGTTGTTTTCTAATGTGTATAATAAAAGTTCTGTATCTGCGAGTGTCTGTCATTGATAACCAAACAGAGGTTTATTTCCAAATTGCCCTCGTATTATACAAGAACAGATGATCAGTCAATTAAATATGAAAATAAATACAATAAATTAAAACCGCTTACATAGTTTATTACATTTGACACTAAGCGTATACATTAAGATTGCTAATCTAAGTGCTGATTTATTGAAGAACCCTCTCTGTTTCTCCCCCCCCTTTTTTCAAAATCTAAGTTATTTCTGAATCAAGAACAGAACATTCAAAATAACTTCAATAGCTGCGGTGAAGTAATGAATTACCTATTCATATTTACTTCATGAGGGGGGAAGAAGAATTGCAGGATTTAAATGCTGCTTCATATGAATAAGTTGCTGCAGCAAAATTAAGATGTACAGAGTTTCTCTAGGGATAATTATGGCAGAAGTAACATTGTTTGGTGCCCTAGCATTTTCTTTTAAAATCACAATATAATTTTTACATCACATTGAGCAAAGTTATTCTTACAATTTTTTAAAGAAAAGCTTAAATATTTTGGAAGTTGTGGGTGTGTGTGGGTGTGTATGTGTGCATGCGTGTATGTGTTTCACAGAAATGAAAGTATAATGTATGTGTGTATATATGTGTGTGTGTACGCACACACACACACACACACACACACACATACACACGTATATCATTCTTTCATTTCTGTGAAAAATACATTGAGGTAGAAATATTTTTTCCCCAATCTCATGACTGCCACTTTTAGTCAGAAATATCAAAACTCAGTATGAGTCATAACAAAGGCTGTCACTTGGGAAATATTTAGAGTGTTTATAACTAATAGTGCAACCACAGCTTTATTACTTACCAGTACTATGAATTCTCCTATTGGGTAATCTCCTTCACATATCCCTCTCTATGGAATGAGTTGTGATCACCACCTTGACGACTCAGATCTGTTGAAATTTCAAATGTCATGGATGTGAGCCCATGTGGTGCGTTAGCTGTCTTCTAATTAGTAGTGTTAGAAAGTCCCTAAAGCAAGCAAACTAACACAAATACAGCATGCTGAGGAAATCTGAATTTGCGGATTTATGGAGGAGATAACAATAGTAGAATTCAAGTTACTGATATGCAGTCTTTCTGCTGATCACGGTTATTTTCCAGGCTGTCACCCTGGGACTCAATCTCCCCAATGAAAAGAGAGGAGTGCAAAAAATATATTAAAAAATCCAATTAGATTTGGATGCAAATAAAAGTTCCAGATCAACTTCATATATTATGATGGTCTCATGAAATATCAGTTACATCTAAATCACTAACTATTTTTTTCTGTGTTAGCACAAACCAAACTATTTTTCTGTCAAGTAATGACTGAAATAATTTTCAATCTCTTGGAACATTCAAATGTCCAATTTGTAATTTTGGGGAAAGTGACCAAATCAGTATACAGGAGAACTTTTGCATCCAAAGGAGCTTTAGCATTTTGTTTTTTTGCTTTTTTCAGCTGAGTTCTTCCCAATTTCAAAATATTTCACACTTCTTACTTGTGAAGCTATATTAGCTATTAGCTCCTTAAATAAATTCAAATTATGTCTTCATCATTTTCTTTCTGCCTAATACATTTGAAAATATTCTTATTATAATTTATAATTATAATTACAATTTATATTAAATTATGAAATTATAATTTCATGTGCAGGCGTCCTTATAATGTTCTACCTAGAACAGGCATCCAGTCTTTATGAAAAATCACAGACCACAGATTACAAGTGGTATAAAATGGTGCACAGACTACTATCTAGTATATGACGCTTGTACTGAAAGGTCTACACTGGTTGTCAACTGCCTACTAGCCCAATTAAGATGCTGGTGCTGATTTGTAAACCTCTCAACAACTCATCGTTTGGTCTCTGAGAAATCACCTCTCTTTTTCTAAATCTGTCCAATGACTTACATCTGTAGAAAAGACCATTTTGAAGATGCCCTCTATTACCAAAACCTGTGTGATACATGGGAGAAGAGTCCTTTTATGTCACTGCCAGACTATGAAATACTCTTCCTAGAGAGGTCCATTTTCTACCCTCTCTTCCACTATTTAGAAAAATTATAAAAGATAGAACTTTTCATGAAGGTTTCATCATTAGCTGATGCTGATTTTGTTAGGTTTTAAATTTTATACTTTTATTCTAAATCATCTTTAAAAGTTTGAATACACTTCCGGTTTTGGGTTGCAGTGGGTGCAAGCACACGAAGAGACTTCTCTCTTCGTTACCTGCTTTTCCTCTGCTGGTAGACCCTTAATCGGGTCGAAAAATCACCCTGGAGGGTTGACTACCAATGAGCAGGACTCTCATTGATTGCGGGAGGAGGAGGCAACTCCTTCTGCGGTCCGAGGCAGCTCCTCAGGGCTGATGGAGAAAAGATCGGCCAGTAACATGGCCGATCATTTAGCTGCTGCAGCCGAAAGTCAAAAGAACATCTAAGCGTTAAGAAACCATCGTGGATGATCCCGGTGAGACTTTTCCCTCTCTCTCTTTGCTTAACTACTCTCCTGTTAAAAGCCTTTTGAAATTACTTCCCTGCTTTATTTATTTATTTAATTTATTTATTTAATTTAATTTATATGCCGCCCTTCTCCCGACAGGGACTCAGGGCGGCGCACAACATATTTAAAACCAGAACATATATACAATCCCCCCCTTAAAACCGAATTAAACCGAATTTTAATGTTGCGTCTTCCGAATATTTAAAACCCAATGTAAAATCCACCCTAGGTCAGGTC